GTTTTCGATTAAGTTTTGTTTACAGTCCTTTCACTGTTGGGTAACATGACTGCAGTACGTTCTATTACCGTAAATCGTTATAAAATTACATATTAATTATACTGTCATGATTTTATGACATTTTTTTAAGGTGGTGTTGTATACTTATTGATCTTGTATTATAGTTTGCTTTCTGTTAGTTTCGATAACTTGGAAACACTAATTGAGTATATTTGGAATACTTAAGTTGCTATTAAATGATGGAAATTTTTAACAGTTGAACTAAATCTGTGATTATAAATTTTTCTTTCCTATTTACACAAATATAGTCCAGTCACTGTAGGCGAAAATAAAGTAAAAGCTCCCAATTTTTTCGGATAGCATGGATTTTCCTGAAAATTTGCATACAAGCTCATCTGACCCCCCACTTCAAAAGTTATATTGTCTATTTGGGGGTGAAAACTACCCTTGTTCAAAAAAATGCGAAAATCGCAGATTTACGTATTTTAAAGATTCAATTCATGTTCAAATATGTTGAATAAAGTTCCTTTTATGTTTTTTATTAAATTTAATTACTTTTCAACCCCTAAAAATCCTTAAAAACACCTTCCATGGCCAAAAAAATAGAAAAAAGTTTTTAACAGTTTAAAATAATCTTTTGGTGCTACTCAGTACAAAGTTGCAACCCTTAAAAACCATCTTTTATAATAAAATAAAATATTATTGAAAGCTTGAGATATTTTAATGGTATGCATATGTTGAATTATAAACTTTTTATTGGTTTTCAAAAGATCTATGATATACTGCAACTTTTCAGCCACCCAATAAACCCTTATGGAAGACCTACCCCTCATAAAAAACTCTACCCCTTATAGAAAAATTTCCTAAAAATTATATGTGACTATGATGATATAATTATTTCTTAAAAATTTTATTGAATTTACTCTTATTAATGTTTTTTTATTAAATTTATATCAAATAAAAAAATATATATAAATTATAAATGGATACGTGTGTGTATGTATATTATTAAAATACTTGCTCAAATCAGTTCACAAGTGCTCCAAAATACACAAAGATGGTGACAATTTACCCGCACCGAAAATTTTACCGAAAAAATGCGATTAATTTTTTTACCAAAACTTTTGTAATTTTAAAGTTATAAATTCACTCAAAAAACCATTTTGTAGGGTATTTAAAGCAGTTTAAGTTCTGTGATTTGCAGTTTTTTGAGCTCTTCGTCTTTTAGATTTGTAAGCTAAAAGGGCTCAGGAAAGGCAGTCTTTGGAGCTTAGTTTTGAGCTTCTAACGGTCATAGTTTAGGAAAATTCTGTCCTACAAAAATTTAAAAAAGCAAATTGTTCAGTAAGAAAAAACCTACAATTTTTTATTCTATAATTTTTTCATAACTTTGTTAGTTTTTAAAATATTTTGAAAAAAGGCGATTTATTTTTAAAATTGAAAAATTTTATTCAAAAGTAAATGAATTTTTTTTTTAATTTAGGCTTCCTAAATCGTTCAAATTCCCAGAATCTACTGTTAATACATAAATAAAGTAAATTGCAGAAGGAATACGTCTAATTTTTTTTTTCGTCGTCATTAATTTTAATACTTACCATTTTTTTTCTCAAAAATCAAGACAATCATTTTATTTTGATTGTAACTTCATTAGTTTTAATGCTAACGACTTTTTCCACCACTCAATTTAAAAGTTTTTTCAAGAACTTTAATAGGTGTTATATTAGTTTTCCTCGAAAAACCTTTAATTTTTCCGCTACAGGACGTTGAACTTTTCGATTATAGGTATCTTTGAAATTGACTTCAACTTCTGGTAGTCATAACTCGGGTTCTATACCACCTACAAAAATAAAAAAGCAATCTCTTTGCTATTTAATTACCTTCATATTTGATTATGATCATTTTTTTATAAAACTTAGTTTTTCAGATATTCGCGGAAAATTGTTCAAAAACATGCATTTTTGGGCTAAAAACGAACATGTTTAAGCGCAAATAACTCAAAAAGTACTGACTGTACAAAAAATTCTTATATAACATCATTTTCTTCGTTGAGCGCCAACATCAACCTCGTACCTTACAACGTATACTACGCAAGTGACTCGTATTGAAATTGGTATGAATCTGCTTCTCTCCGTAGCTCTCCGTACGGCGGTTGTCATGGCAACGAGGCAGCCAACGCATGTGTAAACTAAGCAGCAGTCTCATCGTCATCGCACATCGCTTGTCTATCGTGTCGTGTCTAAACAGTTTATACGATACGTTGCCCAATGCCCAGTGCACGGTTATAATGGTTCTTTATTAATATTTGTTTTATATCGATAATTTGTAGAAATGTTTCCTATGCACGAGCCTGTATGTATTTTATTGGAAATGCCATTTTCCAGACCGAAAATTGAGGACAAAAAAGATTTTTTAAATTGCGAAAGACCTGTACCTTCTCTCGATGTGGAAAAAAGGGGGAGGTCAAAAGACAAAGTGTAGATATGTTCGGAAGTTTCGGATTGATTGGTATTCGGAGTGTAAGTGATTGTGTGGATGTGTTTATTTAAAAAAACTTTTTTGTATGCCGTGTTTAATTGCGAGTGTAAAATCGGGCGTGTGGAATAAGGAGGGATTTAACAATACCGCTGAACATCTGTATCTGTACCTATCATTAAGTAATGAGGTTAAGTTGGTCGCTATAAGCTACTCCCTACGTCCAATTTGTCAGAGCCAACTTCGACCACGTTTTTATTTGAACGCTCGTTATTTAATAACAGTTTTTATTATGTGATGTTTACGGCTAATTAATAAATCCGGCAAACAGAGAAATAATGCTTCGTTGTAGACGTGACATATTGGAAAAAAATGCAGGCCGATATCGTTTGTGTAATTTTAATTTATATTTACTGTTGAGCGAGGGACAGGGCCCGAGAACTTATACTTGAAAATATGGGGACACTGGGAACCACGTGACTTGAGATGGATATACAAGTTGGGGAAAGAGTCTATAGATGTCGCAACAAAGATTTTGTAGAATAAATTTTGACAATTGCAATTATGAATCATTTCATGTCATTCATGTTGTTTTTGTTTATTGTTGGTTAGGTTTGGCGAGTGCTGGTGTGTGTTTTATTTGTGTTTTTAGTGTGTTTTATTAGATATTTCATTCACATTTATTTATATAACAATAATGTCTGATCATCATATAATCACATTTTTTTATTAATAAAATGTTTTGTTTTTTTTTTAATAAAAAATGTGATAAGAGGTAGGTAGTTTTTTTTATGGATATCAACACAACGAAAAATTTAAAGTTGCATAATAAATCTCTATTACAAGAATTAATCAAAGATTGGTTTAGTAAAATTATTTACTTGTAATATTTTTTTATTCACCGTGAAAGCTAATACAATATAGAAAGCACTGAAACTCTATAATCATTTTCACTCTTTTTTTTTCAAAATATGTACTGAAATTTGAAATTTTTTCAACAAACATTTTAAAAAGTTACAGTATCAAAATTATTTCTTATTTTAAGTAGGAAGACTATTAGAGCATTTAAAAGTGTCTTTAATGCTTGAGTGATTTTAATGCTTTTTATCAAATGTACTTATTTTCTCATGGTGACAAAAAAAATTATCTACGTGAAAATTATTTTACAAAATCAATTTCTGAGTGATCTGTGTAGGGTGAGATTTGTTATGTAATTTTAAATTTAGCGGCGGCAGAATACCTAAAACAAATATTGAGTAGGTAGGTATATAGTTGTAGAGCGTACAACTAGATGGCGCTTGCATCTTTTAC